AATTGTTTGTGAAATTGTCGGGAGAAAGTAAAGTATGATACCTACCATTATTTAATAGTCTGCTGTTGTTACCATTAGACCGTCGAAGAGGCGAACGAAAGCCTTCAATTGGTTAAGGAAAGCGACGCAGAATGCCTGTACTGGGCCTCGTGGCGCCTTGTTCACAAGTCGAACACACTCATGAATAACTACCCTTCGTTTAAACACTTAAGTAAGCTACTACCCTTCATACTGTCCCCGCGTTGGAACCAAGTTATTTATTTTGAGCCCTTGAGACCATTAAATAGCTTTTTTGGGACCTAACTTAAGCTTGTTCATTTCAAAGTTATTGTTTTTGAAATTAGAGAACGTGATTTCAGTTTTTGCTGATTCTTGCTCCGACCGTTCTTTCCTTTGATACAAAGGGAAAATCACCAAACTCTTCCAAAATCAAATCTCATTCAGTTTCTGTAAAGCATATGGTAAGCTACCTAAATGCATTTGTCTGATTCACGATATGAGTTACTTTGATCGTCTTCTTCACACAGAGATGATAAATCGGTTTTTTATACTGAGGTCTGAGGTAATACATGGGTCATTGATTTTACCTTCGGCTAAGTTGGATTCTGAGCTATTTCATCGATGGTTTCCTAAATGCTCGTTCGGTTTATGCATTCCAAATTTCCCTGAGATTGACCCATTTGTCCTGTGGCTGTTCCTAGCGGAACGTGAACCATCTAAACAGGAATCTGAATGACGCTCCTCAGAGTAATCTGAGAATGACTCCGAAAAAAAATGAGAGTAACTGCGAAAAAAAATCCAAGCAATTAATCCTACATTCTTTGGAGGCAGTTTTGCAACGCCTGAGACATCTCAACGTTTTCTATATTGAAATATTTTTTTTGTACCAAATCTATTTACGGAAAAAGCTGTACCGTCTTTTGTGGTACAACCGGATTTGCCCGTTTTACCGAGTTGTGGTCCGTATCGCACAATCCGGAATCATCCCAGAGTAAATGATTCATTTCGGCTTCGCCTGAGCCCGACTGCGAACATGGCATACTTTCAACTACGTACTTTCGACTGCATCGTCCTTTGAATATGATACGTTTACGGTTATTGAAGCTAGCTCTGGTCCACTTATCTCAGACTGCTCTGACTTTGGACGTGGCAAATGTTGATATTCTGCACTGTCTTTTCTGATAATCAATCCTGAGACGCCACCTAAATGTGAATGTAAGAAATAGCCATGTTCTAGTCCATCCTTAATTGAGGACAGGCGCGAATTCTCAACCATTAATTCTGCCAGGTTAAAGAAAGGGGGCGAGCATTAATCACCAATTTCTGGTTGAGAGAAGGAACAGACCATATTTCCACCTCTGTCTTCATTTGTAGGGGAACTCGGTTCAAGCAGTAGATGCCCTTCGATCTGCATAGTCGCGAATACCTGTGCTTTCTGATCCTGTTCAGTAAATCTAAGCAGGGCAAATTACCCGATAGGCAATTCGTTCTCGAGCCTAAGTGGCTCTTACCGCCATTCAGCTCGCGATTTCTTTGTCTGAAGGTTAATCAGGGTCACCTTCGTTTGAATTCGAGGCTGAGTTATTGATAACACACGTTCCCCAGAGATTTCATGAGAAGTTGTGATTTTCTCCCGACGGTAAACATAGGCGTCTAGTAAAGTGAAAACAATTTGGAGCTACCTACTAAACAAAAGTTTTAAACAGTTCAGAAGGAGTAATTGAAGCTGCCTCGCGACTAAAGATATGGTTATCCCTTGCTACAAGGGCTAGGGAGTAGATTACGCCGATGATTTAGCTTTCTCCTTTATATGGTTGATTAACTTAGATCGCAGAAGCGCCTTCCCTTTTGAGATCGAAGTTACCAGTTGGTTTGTTCAGCTTTGCCTAATATTAAGCCTGAACAAAGTTTTACTAGTGCTAGATTTTTGCAAAGGTTTGTGCCAATGAAAGTTGTAGCTAGTTCGAATGTACTGTTATAAAACATACAAAACTATTAGTGTATATCTGTAATATGGTACAGCTTGACAAGGACAAATATAACACCTGAATGCCCAGCTCATTCGCTACCTAGAATACAACACTTATCTATGGGTTTTACAAAATCTGGATTTACGCTGCTTAATTCCAGCTCTGATGATTGACAGTGCACATTTTTTTTTCGATAAAGTATTAAGGTGCATAATTCTAAAATGCGCCACATTCTTGCATCGACATTGTGACATGTTAAAGCTGACAACTATTGACTCTGAGGAACCGACCAATAAAGGGCTTATTACGGCACAATTTTATACACTTCTTATATCATTAATCGTACTATTTTGCTGTGAATTGTCTTCGCCAGGGTGTAAAGCACACCTTACTTCATGTCACAGAAGCAGAGACAATAAGAGTAAGTCACACATGCATATCAGCAGAATCAGAAACAATAGGAAAAAATTGTCATTTTTAGGCAGGTGGTTCACAGTGATCGAAAATCTAACATCGAAGCGTTACAGCAGTGATAAGGCTATGTGATTGTCGCAGCAAACAATGATTGACTATAATAATACCTATCGATTCCGTGTGGCTTCTATATGTCGTTGGTTCGCCATCATTTCTAAAAGCTCCAATTTTTTTTCTGGTAAGTGTTTTTTTTGCTACTTTTCGTATATTTCTTATTTCGATGATGTAATAGATTCTTTTGATCGGTGCAGTGGCTAGTATTGGAAAACGATGATTAGTTATTTCAATACTGTTTAGCCTGGTTTACCTAACCTATGTTATAATATCCTCGAAAACGACAAGTCTTATCACTTCCCTATAGACTGTCCATTACAGCCTCGGAATGTATGTACACTATCGTAATCATCCATTATGGTAACCTCTGGTCCGTTGCACCGAAAACTCCTGGATCATATAGTTGCGTTTTTAGTGAATGGAATGGTCACGATGCAAAATCAAAAACAGACTAATTGATCATATGGTGGCGGTTCTTTTTAAATATGCTTTGTTATAACGATGCTAGGATTCCTTATAATTGCACCACATATAATCTTATTACTGCATAATTGCAGCTTTTTAAAAGCACGTTCTATTGCTTAGCAGCGAAATTATAATTGTGGTAGCAGAAGCACTAGTTTTCATTACGAAACTTTCGCTTCATCGAAATCCAGTGCAATGCGGTTGTGTGGCTATGTAGCGAAAACAATAATGAGCTAAGGCAGTTTCTTGATCAGAGGTTAAATACTCTGTTACGAAACAATTAGCCCTGTGTAAGACTGTGTTCTGAGAAGTTGTCGCGACGACCGTTATCCAGTCCAGATGTCCAGTAACCCCGGTAGCATCAGCAGGCAGGCGACATGCATGATAACGCTCACGAATACCCCCGACGGCAAAAAGCAATAACAAGCCGGCATGTTCGCCAGCCACGGGACGTATGACATGGAGCTAGACCTCCACTGTTGATTATGCACCGTCTGTATTTGCGAGTCCATTCACAGCATTTGTTTTATGCTTTTCGTTTTTTTTACTTCTGTCTTGGATTCTATTGCCTCGCAGGTGAACATGAATTGGTCTGCAGCATTGTCCTCTGCTACGTCTACAACATTCCATTCACAACTATTTCTATATATGCGGGCGAAATTAAATCCAAGAATTTTCTCTATATTTCGGATTCTACGACCGTTATCGCCATTGGGCATCTCATCAGACGGCTGGCTGCCATCTCAAAACAAATCCTGTGTCTATGCCTGCGTTCGAACTAATAACGAGTCCCTAAGATTAACAGGCAAATACGTCACCCACTAGGCTATCACGGGAACAAACGCGATACGCCTAAATCAACTTTATGAAATCTACGAGCCTTCTTGTTTGTAGCACTGCTTAACGAATCTGGAAACTGGAGCCGCTGTTATTTGCTTACGCGTCTTTCTGCGGAAAGATCTGTAGTTGTCTACCGTAGTACGGCACGGTACTTGGAGTATAAAAGTTAAATTAGTAAAAAAAATGATTTAGCGATAGTCTTTGTCAAGCTTTGCAATGCAATCAAAAAAGCCGCCGGATAAAAATAAATGAAACTACAATAGACAATTTCAGTTGTTTCCCTCTATCTGCAGATCATGCACACTACAAGTTACAAACAAATATTCTCTCCAGCAAAAAAAAATCATTTTCAATGTATGTTCAACGCGTACAAATGTATTGAACATTTGTAGACGACGCCTGTGACATGGCAATGTTGTGTTTTTCATCGGTATACTAGGTCAAATAATTCCTCTAATTTTTGTTTTAGCCCTTTTTCGTGAATGTTGTGTTCTTATATATTATTTTCGTTAATATTGCTCCGGGATCTCTTATTTCTACGTCGCTTACTCAGAAAAAAAGTTATGTCCCTTATCGAGCGTCTCTTTAGAGGCTTGGAACAATAAACTGGTAAAATAGAATACTGTTTCAACTACTACCGACTTTTCCTGAGGCACTAAATGGTCTCAGTTTACGACCTTTGCCTGTTACTATGATTCAGATTAATACATACTGAGCGTATAGAGCTTCATTAACACCAAAACTACTAAACGTTTATCAACTGAGGGTAAGCTGGTCTAAAGATGCTGGAGTTTAACTTATATATTCACTTTTATTATTTTCATAATTCTCTTAAACAAGTTCTCGCACTGTTTACTGATATTCCCACGCTAATAATACTAAATAAAATTTAGAAAGTATACTTTGCGGATCCATTCATGCTTCGCAAACATTACTATTTGCCCAAAAACATATTTGCTTACACAAGTTCGCCGTTCTTAAATTCTCTAAATGCTATTTATTGGCGCAACATACAACGGAAACACAAAACATAAAAAGTTCTTATTTCATGCAAAGTTATAGTCGTAGAGCTAGTCTATACGTTAAAAAAGTAACAGTAATTTTTTGTGTGCAAGTATTTATCAAACGGACGTTTCACTCATACATTCACAGTCGCAGGCATTTGGCCGTAATACTGAAAGGTATTGAATAGCTTACATAAATATTTTTAGCGCTTGACTGATCATTCTCCTTTGTACATGGGCTTCCTCTTTTCTCTAAAAGCATTCAATCCTTCCATACGGTCCTTGGTTTTAATAACCTGAGCATAAAAGCTTTTTTCAAAAATTAAACCTTCGGCAAGAGATACCTGAAATGGCAGCAGAAAAAAATTGACCCAATTTGCCTAGTTAAAAAACTTCCGACACATTTAAACTGCAACAAACTTTCAAATAATTTCACCAAATAATATCAAACGCTTGATAAGATTTAGCACTAGCAAATATCTGAATTAAATTCGAAGCTGTTAAAAGATAATGAGCAACATGGTTTCGCTAACCTCTATTGCCTTGTTCACAGCCAGTTTTGCAAGACGCAGTGCTATGGGCGCATTTGGTAGAATTTCTTCTGCCAGTTCCAGGGCACGCTGTTCCGCTGTTTTACCTTCTTCTGTAACGTGATTGACAAGACCAATTTGTCTGGCCTCTTTACCACTCAACACGCGTGACGTCAAAATCAACTCCTTGGCCAAGACCGGACCTACACAAAAAAACATGGAAGCAATTTTAGGTCCTTTCCAAACTACAAAACTAAGTTTACTCAGAAGATGGACGAAAGCTAACTCAGACAATGGAAAAAGTAACAATTATAATGGCTATATATAGTGCACGGTAAAAACTTAGAATAACAATAGGGATAGAACACTTAATGTGGCGACTTTACAAGTCAGGCCAAAGTTTAGGTCATAAGTCTGCTTTGGAACTAGTTGATTTTCTTCCTATCTATTTAGGATGTAGGAATTATTGCATTATAGGCCGTGTTACTACCACTGTTCCGTTTGTTGCCAAGCTTATGTGCTCAACGGTAAAACTTGTGAGCTGCGAGAAACATAATACATATTACAAGGTTATGTACAAGTAGGACAAACAAAATATTAACTAGGTTCAAAAAAACGCTATATTCTATATAGACAACGATGAAAATTATAAACTGCATAAATCGTTACTACATGATTATTATATCGGTCAACTTTTATCCAAGTCTCGTCCGTTGTGGCCCCCGTTTCGTAAAACTTGGGATCAATGTTTCGATCTCAGTTTATTGGGTTTTCTTCGAATGCTGGAGCTGACAGTACATCGGCAAGGGCGACGGAGGAATAGTGGAGTCACCGCCAGTAGGTAGACACACCTATTGCGGTGTAATCACGTGGCTCTTTCAGGAAACGCGGCTTTATTTGGTTCAGTTGCCCAAACTTCTTTTCAGTAAGATCCTCTCACCTAAGGTTTACTCCGCATACGGCAACGGGTACAGCTTACAAGTCGGAAAGTCGCAATGGAGCACAGAAGAAAATTGCTCAGGGCCAAGCATTAAGGATGGAGCCATCAAAGATTCTCTGCATTTTTCGGTAAGATGCTGAGAGGCCATAGACGTTATACATAATCAGTAATCCTAGGCAGGCGAATTAACATATGTCACCGATCGGCCAGGAAAATGGTACAGTGATAAACCGCAACTCTGACACCTTTTTGAATTTCATTGCCTTATTCTCACTTAGAATGATTGTCAGTCCCTATTCCGAAATAGCAAGATCTAACCTGGTTAAGGTTTACTGCTTATAGAGGCGACTGTTTCCGTGAATGACTAAGTAATCCGCGTAGAGGACTTTTCCCATATTTCTAAACTCACGTATCTTGTCGGGGCAATTTGTAATCAGGAGTAAAAAAAGGAGGCTTAGGTTATCACCTTAAGCAACACTTGTAATCTGGATGGACTCTATTATCGGTTGTTACCTTATTCTCCTCAAGCATTGCCGCCGTTAGGTTAAACACGTTCACGGTAAGCACGCAATGCTACTTAAATTATATTGCTTGATGCAAAGTCGAAGGTTGCTTTGAAATTCACAAACACTACGTAAGTATGTTGCTGAAAGCTTTCTAAAATTCGTTGCATGTCATAAAGTAGGATCTTGCATGTGGAGCATGATCCCTGTTGCTTAATCCCTGTTGCTATTTTAGATATCACATTTAACTCTTCCAGTTAACAGTAACTTTTTCTAGTACCAGCAGATGCGAAAGAACCTTATAGCAAATGCGCTTTGCCGCAATCTCGCGGCATGAAGACCGCTGGCTTGGGTTGCCTTTGTTTTTCGGGATAACGAGAGGCGCTGCATTCCGCTATTGGGAAGGAAGCAGTCCGTATTAGATTCAATCATTGAACACAGAGGTTGAACAAGGCGTCTGCCCTAAAGCGTTCTTAATTTTTCGTTTCGAATCCTTTTCAGTACCATTACCTTCCTCGGACGTATGAGTCACTTGCAGGACGGAGAACTCCTGAACCTGCAATTCACATTTCGCCGTTGCCTGTTCGCCCTACTCTGCGCTGAGCAGTGACATCTCCTGCGGTACATGGGTCTTATGAAATGGAGCGTTCCGGCGAAATGATCGATGATGACATTGATGAGCTAATAGGATGCCACGCTGACATGCGTGGATCGGGCCATTTGTATGACTGGCACTCAGCTTCTCCCAGAAGAATCGTATCCTACTGTTTCCAGTAACTCCCATTTTGGATGGCATATGTCTTCAAGCAGACCACTTTGCAAGTAGTGGCCAGCTGCTTTGTTGCTAGTAGTAGTATTGCCAACAACCTAATGTCATTCTAGGTAAGGCAAACAAGGTAGAAATTGTACTCAAGTCACTGTCGATATCCCTTGGGAAGGCCTGCATAAATGGAAAATTGCAGGATCTCAACGAGATAATAAGTATAAAATTCAATATCAGTCAGGCGTAACATTAGGAGGACCGCATGAGACAGATGCAGAAGTTCCGTGTCCAGCTTTTACGGTAAAAAAAATGTATTCCTCCTGGCGAACAGTAATCCCAAGGAGACCTTCAGGAGTCTAAACCAAAAGGAATGTGCGCTTGAAGCTACTCTCCATCACAGAAATAGTAATTCTCTTCTTCGTCCTTGATTTTATTTCTACCTGCTTTCGTCGCAGAGATATCGCTGGCGCACTTTTCCATAAGGCCGGCAAAAATTGGTGCTATACATGGATTGGCTACCCAGCAGTGATGCAGCAAGGTGCCGTCAGCTTATCTCAAAGGGCTAACGTACGGCTTGAGGTGAGCTAATCGAGTCGAACATTTAAGTCTCCTGCCGCAATGAGGGAAGCTCCCGAAGTTCCACTCGATGCCCTTTAATGTTTCCCACAACCCTGGATCCGATTTCTACCCTGAGAGCGTACTTGAAGCTGGCTGTATAATTTTTTGTTAGGTAATGTTGTTCACCTAGGTAGGTTTTGTCTTCAGCGCTATCAAGGCCTTCTGAAGAAATATTTTGTCATTGGTTATAACACGCCGTGTGACCATTTCGAATAACAAGAGATCCCTTTCGAAAGTCTGAAGCAGCGATGACCCTCTAACCCGGTGTTTACAAAGCGCACATTGCACTCAGGTTCCATAGACTTGTCCTTATGATTGTACTATACTCCATGCTTAGGAATTTTTAATCTTCATCCTAACAAAGATTTCATTCGCCTGGGAATGTTACACGCAATTCTTTTAGCTACGTTACCCATATACCTGTATCGGCCACTCTCAACGGCTCGACGCTTTGTGAATAAGAGAAACGTCACAGCGAAAGGCTCATTCTCGTAAGTTACCCTTTTAATAAATGCTTCATTAGAGTTCTGGCTAGAGCCCTATCAGTTTCGTAGAAAGCAACTTGACTGCTGCTATAATTTCGTCCTTCTCAAACGTCATGTACTTATGCTGGCCTGCCTATAGAACTCAATTTGGTAACTCAAATCACGACACAATAATGGCAATAGAAAAAAAAAATGAAAACATTTATGCCGCTAACCAATAATACGCGGCAGTCTTTGAGTGCCACCGGCGCCTGGAATGATTCCTAGTTTGGTCTCTACAAGACCCATTTTTGCGGCTTGAGAAGCCACTCGGATGTCGCAGGCGAGCGCCAATTCTAAGCCACCGCCGAGGGCAGCTCCATCAAGGGCAGCGATAGTCGGCATCGGTAAAGATTCAAGCGTCGATGATACATTACGCAACCGCTCTACAAATGGTTCCACCTCCTCTTCAGGCATTGTCCGTCTACAAACATACAGTTCAGTAATAAACGAATAAGTCGTAGTGAGAATTCAGACTACTGTTTTTCCCTTAGCAAAATTGATTTTCGAAATATTACTATTATTAAAAAAGCATAACGTTCCGTAATTATATTTCTTTTATACAGCAAGGGCGACCGTCATAACACATGTAATACTACATCTTGTTGTAGGACATACTGTAGAATACGAACCTCATTACAGTGCCCCTTTATTATAACATATTAAAATAGAATCGAAGAGCTCGTTTTTATGCTTGTAAATATCAGTTTGATACATGCTGATTGCAAACGATCCTTTTTATAGATGAAAAAAATATCCCTCACATTGGGCAATCACACTAATAATCATCCTTGCATATGCTCAATAAGAGCTTAGAGTACGAACCGTTCTTTAAGGTCGGCGCCGGCACAGAACACTCCCGGTACGACAGACCGCATGATCAGAACTCGAACACTACGTTCATCCTTCAGTTGTTGCAGAGATTGCTCTAAGTGGGTGAGAAAGTTTCTGCTGAGGGAGTTTTTTCCTTCAGGTCTGTTCATCGTTAGAAAGGCAACGCCTTCATGATTGCCAGTCAGTTTCTCCATGTAGACCTCATTCTCTTGGCTGGATGCACTAGGCATAGCCAGATGTCGACGTATGCTACATTGAAGACTCGCTACCATCACCCGGCAGGCAAACGGCGTCAAAAGAGCGTAAGTCATCTGTAGAAATAGGTCAAAAACTCAAGTTCTAACATCAAAAAAAGAGAACAATTAAAGGCCTGGATTGAATTAAGTAATTCAGACGGGATAAGTGAAGTTTGAAGTGTACTCACCAACATTTATTATATTATCTAAATATTCCTAGCTCAAATAAAATAGCGAATAAATATAATAACATAGCGCATAAATATAATATATACAATGGCAATAATACCTAGTGGTGTAATATATAGTCTAGCGATAGATGACAAACCTAGATCCGAACTTCAGTATTTTAGTTGTTAGACTTTCACAATATCGAACCTGCCATAATACTCAACATTCAAATCACAAACGAAAGGAAATTGCATGAATATATGTGCGTTCTATAAATTTAGTCGACTGTTAAAAGTGGGTGTCTGTGTGTTTATCGGTCCTACTCTCCTAAAGTGATCGATTTAGGCAAATTTTTCGCGGGTCGCTAGATGTTTTTTGGAAAGAGCTGCACATAGGACGAAGCCAATAGGATAAACAATAAATATTTTTTCTTTAGGGAGCAAAATTTCTTTTCTATATAGAGCATAACATTAATTTGGTTGATCGTAATCCGGGGACAACAACTTATTTTCGATGTTTGAAATCATCACGATCAAAACATCAGCATCGTCCACGCTGATATACCGTCAAAGTAACAAATGTAAATTAGTGCGTTAACAAATGTGCTCAACACCCGTTGCGTAAAAAAGCTATGCTTTAATTATTATACAGAAGAAGCTATTTGGTAATAATAATAATAATATACGCTAATAATTAACCGTTATTGGTAATCTTGTACTTTTATACAGGTGAAATCAAAACAGTTTAACAGCAAACCAGTACAGGTTTGTTTGATATTTTCTGTTTTTTTTTCAGCTGAGGCCTAGGCTTTCGATTGGAAGGGCATTGTTTTTTCTACTGAGCGTATTAACTTCCTGCGAATTTATTTGCTAATCAGCCATTATGTTTTTTTTTTCGATAGCACATTAATTATATCAGGAAAAGCTAAAAAATAATCTTTAAACGTGGCGTACACATGTTTCACGACAATATCTTTTTAAAACTTTTGTTAGCAAACAAGATAATTACAGACTTTTCGTTTTTCTAATAATTTCAACCATTGCACGTACAGTCAAAAAAATTTCGCGCGATATAGAAAAACTGGCAATCTAATTTTTCGTTGTGAATCTACGCGTCAGCATAACTTTTGTAAATCTATTACCTAAAGTCTTGCTTACACTCGTATTATTTATGTTTTTTCTACTTAGAACTAGCACAATGCACAAAACAATAATATTGTACTAGCCAGACCTTCGCACCTCTGTATCTACGTGCCTGTTTTCACTGGTACCATCCAAATAGTTCCGCGACAAGATAGGAAAGCTTTGATCTGTGTGACCTTTTACTATCTATAGATAACCAGCCGGATTTTAAAACAGTCGACAAAAACTACATAAAGGATTGCGCTCGAATCATTACTAAAAAAAGAAGCAACAATATCATTGCAACATGGAACAATAAGCGCTTTGTGAGCAACCAGCTGAGAGCAGAATTTAATCATCTATGCGTTGTTATACACAATTGCGTTCGAAAATGGCGCTGCTATTCAATCGTCGTTGATATTTTGCCGATTTGTTTATTTGTGCGCTGCAGAATAGACAAAAGGCCGGCGCGTTTCTTCGATCAACTGGTTGGCGCCAAACTTGGATTGGAAGATCATATGGGCTGTGGCCTGGCGGGTCTTTGTTTGTTTCGTTCAACTTTGTCTACAAATATTCTTACAAAGGCCTAAAGCCGGTTACGAGGAAGTTCATACTATAAAACTTATATCAAAAACTGTTTCCTCGGATTCAGAAAAAAAGGTTTGTGTGCAGTCATGTTTAATAGCAGTATCGACACTAAATTTAATTCCATTTTGGACAATCTGCACATCTGATAGGTTAAAAAAAGTGTTTATGTACGACTTTTTATAGGCGAGGACGATTTCATTAATTTACTAAAAACAGAATACAAAGCAAATCTAGACTAGTAAGGGCCTAAATGGAAGCGGTACATAGAACATCCAAACATTAACAACAATTAAGGTGGTAGAACAAAATTTACAGGACCGTGTCCTTAACACTGTATTGATCAGTTAGCCATTTAGGTGCGATAGTCGACGTGTGCCTCAATAGGTGATGCTCGTACTGAACGACTGTGCTACTTTTAAAGATATTGTATTAACAGTACAACTAATTTAAGCTAATTGACTCCAACTGATTTTTACTTAACCAGTATAACCAACTCAATATATATATAGTGAGTGTCTCCTGTGATGTTTTCGTACGAAGTTTAGGAATACGCAAAGTGGTCTAGGCTCAAAACCGGCGTAGGCACATTTTGTCCTAAAAGCCAGTCGAAATTATGCTTGAAGCGTGAAACGTTTCGTGTTGACGTGTCGACATTGAACGAATAATGACGATATGCATGCCCTATTACTTAGGTAAAGTTGCGCGCGCTAAGGGATAAACTCTTCATTTTTGGACTCCTTTCAGATGTCGAATAATCCGAAATTAAAAGTAAAAATCTTCAACTCATTCCAAGTCCAGGGACTGACCCTCCGTCGCGAGTCCAGTCAATATCTGGAGCAAATATTAGGTCGACTCGAGCCGGACCAACAGGTTGATTGGATCAACCAAATTATTACGTGGCTTCAGGGGCAGTGCCTCGAGTCGGCGCTGATTTCCAAGGATCAAATTGTAGCATGTATTAAGCAGTGTTCGTCGATTTCAGAACAACAGCAACAGGTGTTTCACATAATCAGCGCATTCGATGTACCTGCTTTCAGTTACAACAACGATCGAAAGAAATTCATGCGAATCGAGGGCAAACGTCAACTCTTCCCAGTGGCAGACGCTAAGGCTGAACTCTATTGCGAACGATACAAGATTGTACAACAAAGGACTCTACGCCATAAACTGTTCGCGGCTCCAACAGCTGCTTCAATGCTTTCGTCATCTAAACGTGACCACTATAAATTGTGTTCGTGTGAGAGTCTCATCGGAATGACAAACAAGGCTAATCGGTTTGTTGTGGTGCTCGGCATGCTGACGCAGTTAAAAGAAGGAAAGCTCTTCCTGGAGGACCCAACAGGCAGTGTACAGCTGGATCTTTCCAAGGCCAGCTTTTCACAAGCGCTTATTACAGAAGGAAGCATAGTTCTTGCGGAGGGTACATATGACGATAAGATGTTCAACGTTCAAGCCATCGGATTTGCACCAGCTGAACCAGCAAAGACTAGCCGGGAATATTTTGGCTCTGTTAATTACTTTGCTGGTGACGCAGTCAAATGTATGAAAACCGATTCGTCATTAAAGGAATCCCAGCATCAGCTCGAAGACTATATGTTGGTAATTCTCTCCGATGTTTGGCTGGATGACGTTAAGACAATGGAACGTCTAAAGATTCTTTTTACTGGATACAACCAGTGTTCTCCTTCGGCGTTCATCCTTATGGGAAATTTCCTCAGGAATTCACTCGGTTTTCAGGATGTGGGCACACTGAAGGAATGCTTTAAACAGCTGGCTGATTTGATTACTCAATTTCCTGATCTTATGTCACGTTCGCGTTTCATTTTTGTCCCTGGAAATCGGGACCCGTTGACTACCAAGGTGATTCCACGACCGCCACTGCCAAAAGTAGTAACTGAATACTTTTCAATGAAAATTCCTCAGTCGACGTTTACTAGCAATCCTGCTCGAATACAGTTATACACTCAAGAGATCATACTATTCCGAGAAGATTTGATCTCGAAGATGTGTCGTAACAGCGTGCACGTACCCTGGGAGCCCGACGGCGAGGTGCAGCTGTCGCAACTATACGTAAAGAACCTTGTCGGTAATGCTCACCTTTGTGCCTTACCAACACACATAGCTCCGGTTTTGTGGCAGTGGGATCATGCCCTATGGCTGTATCCGACTCCGGATCTAGTTGTCTGCGCCGATAAGCATGAACCATTTACTATTAGTCAAAACGAGTGCTTATTCACTAATCCCGGTCAATTTACTAAAGGTGATTTTTGCTTCAAGGTATACTTGCCTGGTCAAAAAAAAGTTGAAGACAGCCAGATTTGTGAGCCCGAATAACTCACATTGGTCAACGACAACATTTAAGCATCATGTTAATGTATTTATGATTTATGTATATAAAGTTTAGTTCGACAAAAGACAACTTACAGTTGTACAAAAAACATTACAATTACCTATGAAAATAAATATGACGCATTTTAACAGATGGTTTTAGTTATGGATATAATGGATGCTTTATTAGTATTTTATTTTTCCCGGTGAGCTCAAGTATCCTGCAACGTAAGGACAATATTTGACTTCCAACTACCTGTTGAGAGTTATTCAGCTTATATACTGCGTTTGGGAGATAACCTGTGGTGTTCCAGATTTGCTCCGATTAAAAACCGATTTCCAAAGAAAATGGGGAAAAAGCAACTTTGTTGTGATGAAAATTTCCAGGCTAGTCGCAGGTTTGTGACTAATTTGCGAAGCAACGTATGACCTTGAAAATGTCGAATCCATTAGTTGGAATCGAGTGCACAAAATACCAAGGGCAATTCATCACAAGTTAGTTAGATCAATCGTTTTTATTAATTAAATAAAGTTCAGTACAAGTCGACATTTGCGTTCTTCTCTTGTTATATATATATATATATATATATATATATATATATATATATATATATATATATTACGGATAAATAGAGCTCTATAACCACTTTTTCCATAGCTGTTGGTTCTTTTTGTTGCTGTATTGCACAATATTACGTTGCTGTCTTTTAACTTGTGCCTGACATTGGGTTAGCCCCTTCATTCAGGATGTCCTTGCTTTTTTGTTTTCAAGTTGTCTTGTGTTGTCCTATACAAACCTACGGCATCTATGCCAGTCATCAACACTACGTTGGCTGTCAGATTGAGCCCAACAGGTTCAGTTATACTGGTCATTCGTTCAGGCGCTGACACATTTTTCCTTAGCCATCAATTTCCTCCATAAACGTTTTAGTTGTTCTTTAGCTCCACCTCCTACAATGTACATATACCTAGAGCATCATCTCAGGGCCTTTAATATCCACTGTACGCTTCAGATTATATATACTCTATTTCAAATCGAATTTCAGCTTCTCACTAATGTTCGCCAGCAGACGTCCTCTAACAAGGAGGCTCGCTGGCAATTCCTCCTACACAGCAGTTTCTTTATTGAAATGTATTGCAAAACCCGAACAACCGCCTGTCGATCTGATACTTAGAGAAGCTTCGACGAGCGTGCTAGTAACTAATAAGCGTGCACCTAATTTGTCTCCCTCATTTAGTCCTTCATCACATTCATAAACACTTGAATGCATATGTATTTTTATCGACACGTACATATACAGCTTGCGTGTTTGATCTTTACAAAATCTTCTGCTTCTCTCACCGGGCATAGATTTGACCCTGTCCTTCTCTTCTGGATATTATTCATCATCGTATGTTATTATTGTATGCTCACTTTTTATTGTCAAATGACCTCGTAGTTTATTGTTCACATGGACACAATCAAAATAGCCCGTCTATTGTCTGTTACCCAATAATAATGTCTTGCGATAATCACCACCATAGCAATAGTAAAAATCTCCACTTATAACAATATGCAATCACAACTATTATGCCTAACCCTTTTTATTATCCCTTATAGTCAATATAGTTTTTTATTTTATGTCAAATAAAAAGTCTAGCGTTATATATTCTTAATACTTGTACACTAGAAATAGATTCTGCCTTATCTTGCGATCATTGCCATCATGGTCAAGTACTTTGGCACGCTCTGCGTGAGTCGTTCGAGGCACACAGCCTCTTTTATCTGCTTCATCGCTGCGGCGTTCTGTGCACTGTACGTTATATAGATGCCGAACGAAGTATTTCAAATCTTCCTGTTCTGATCCATTTCTAGATTACGAAGTTTCCACTACTTGTCGCCTAAACCGCACTAGCATTCGTTTCCTTGCATGCGTTGTCATATTTTTCAAACATGTATTTTATGTAACGTATATTTTATCAACATCGAACTCAAATATGATTTTCGGATGCAGGTCTCGCTGGCAGAAACTAAGAATTTCTAATACTTTCTTTAGACTGCCATTGGCAGGTGGCTTTTTCTTCTTAGTAGGTTCCAGTCCCAACAATATGCGCAAATAACCTAGTCCCGTTAAAAAGTCCTAGACTTCTAAAGAATAAACATGTAGTACACACGAACAGATACTCTTCGCGAATTTGGCGGAAGGAAAACGCCACCAGTTCTAAAATTTCGTTTTCATTACCATTTGCCTGCCAAGAATAGCGTAACAATGAACTAATTTTTTAATAATAATATATAGAGATAATAAAATATATGACGAGATAGAATTGATTACTCATTGTGGTTAATTTAATTGTATTTGTTAATTACCTGGTCATGTATAATCTTACTGTAGCAAGCTAATACATATACTACGATGATATATTACTACTATCTTGGTTCAAATGAGCATTTTGCTCGCATGCGTGGTCACTATCGTAATAAGACTGTGTGTTCCGACACGTTTTCATGTTGAGCACGCCGCATACATTTCTATTGCTTTATTCTTTTCCTTGTATCCGCTCCCGATGTACCTATTCATTCATTGCGTGTGTGTCACATACGTATTTTTAACATTATATGCTTTCAATATTGCATATAGGTATATATTAGTATAAAAAGTACTTCACATAATAAACCACTGCAACACACACATCCAATTTCACATATATTACAAGCCGCTAAACAAAAACTACTGACTGCATTAGCTGACAACTTCATTGTTCCAAGCACATGAAATTAGCTCAAAGACTCTGGAAGGAAGTTCGCATCTGATATCCCTAGCACGTTTTATATAGGTTTAGACTTGACTGGACCTAAAACGTTGAAAAAAAATGTATATTATGCTACTTTCATCATCAACACATGGCTTTGTAAAAGAAATAAACCTCTACGAATAGCAATTACAAACAAAAATTACATTGATATCATATCAGGTTTTCAACAATATCTATCTATGTTACGTGTTCGTTTGCTTGTTGATCGGCCATTCCGTAATAACACACATATATTATTATATAACTCACACGCACATTCACTAAACGGGATCCATAATAATGGAAAATATCTGAATTAGACGCTCACTACAGCTTGAGGCTGGGTTCGGTTTATCGAATCGTTCGGCGAAAAAAAATTCTATAAAGGTATGTCTAAAACGGAAAACCCGAAAACGGTCATGTTGCCCCTCATTGTGCAGTTTTGGCTTGCAGCATTAATTCTTCTTTACCTATTTGATAAGATTTACGTTTGAATGAAAATGGCATCCACTTAACATTTTTATGTTCTGCTGGCGATAAAATATTCGTAGAAATATCTTGTTCTATCTGAGAGTCCTATCTCTAGCGTTTCAGTTGGAGTTATTATAGTAACTTTTTATTATAGTAAGTTTTTCATTTCGCTCGATCACAAGGTTGTCGCGGTGGGTAGGCGCTTGTTTCAATTCATTTAGGAATTCGTTCCCTATGATAGGAGAGTCGCTTCTTTTCTCCATATATATTCCTTTATAATTTTTTCAAATTCTCTCTTGACATTAATCCACTGTATTGTATGCGGGCTGGTTTTCTGAAATTTAAAGGAGCAAAAATGATGACGGCTATTTGTCGGGAATTTGTGCGATGGACCTACCCAGCAGAGAACACAGGGAATCAGTCTGAAACATGATGCTCAGATCTGACCACCATTTATCTTAAATTTCCGCGTCATCTGGATGTTCACGTTTTGTAGTGACTCTATACTATTCATACAAGATATAGCTCTTTTGATCTGTCCTAATGTTCTTGAAAGCAGCTAAAACGTCAATTACCCCTGGATATATCGGTGGCAACTGCAATCTGACGGACCTTGGCACATTCGAAAAAAAGGCGTATTACTCATGCTAAGATAGACCCATGTTCTCGCCCCTTTCTCCCGGGAACCCATTCTTCTACTTATTTTTTGCAGCTCACGACTGATCATTTCTACTACCACTGATGGCTAGGTTTCCGCCCGACGGGGCTGCTGGGGCCTTAGTTGGTAATCGCTCGAAAAGCGATGCGTAGAACTCCGGTGCGGCCATCTCTTTGGCATACTTACTACCGATTTCCTGGATCTTAGTACGCCTCTTCACATGTGGCGCTGGACACCTTTAATTAGTATAACGTCAAGAAAATGTTGCACTTAGCTAAATAAGCTGCGTAATATATACAGGAAGATCAAAGACTACTGATCTGTATAACTTTTTAAACTATCGTACTCGGGCGGTATTCTCAAATAATCTTGGCTTATTGAAAAGAATTGTCAAACGTACGACTCAGGATCGGCGTCAAGTCGCTTCCTTCTGCAGAGGTTTAGAGCGACATTACGAACAACGGCACCTAACGTTCGTCTGCTTATTAGTTGGCCGTCGAGAGCAGGCAAGGGTACCGCAGAGGTTCTGTTTCCTGAACGACACTCCACCTGTACATTTACCGAAAATTTGAATCTAATTTGCCTTTAATGGTCAAGAATTATGTCGGATATATATAGACAGATAAAATGGAAATTTCAGATAATATGGCAATATAAGGAAACTATGTATTTGTTCAGTTGATAAAAACAGCACCTTGAGACGAAAAAGACCGCTCTGCAAAGGCGTAACAAAAATCAAGAGAACATCGGCGCCCCGCTGGCTTGGTCCCGCTCCCTGGTGTGCCAGACCTGTCGTATCGGTGTATGGGAGCAACCCCTCAGTCGGAAAGCGACTATGATCTTCAAAGCTTTCCAACCAAACGACCATCACTGCGTAGGAGACAGAAGTATTGACAAACAAAGGAAATGGCATCGCTAAATGTTAATATTTCAGTGTTCGCAGCAACACTTCGCATACTTTCAGTCCGGGAGCACTTATTATGGCTGATAGCGTAATCACCTAAAAAGATTCTCTGAGTCAATGTGTATAGTCATAGTTTTAGTAAAAAAAATCGAAGAATTTTAGTTCAGGTAACAAAAAACTTTTTTGTCAAAAAAACTTTTCGATTTGAGCTTGTACGTTACCTTTGACTTCGAATGGAGCTGTTACCAAATGTCTGGAGGTGCTGTTCTTTCCTGTCTTGTCTAGGTTCAGCGTCATGTTTGACCTTAGAGGTTTCTCTGGTGGCTGACGTTTCCTGGAGGTTCCACCTTCCGGAATAAAAGAGCTTTTGTCTTTTTCAGGGGATGGAGACTTTTTAACGCCAATTGCCGACAGGCTAGGTACCACAAAGGCCATTTCCGAAAGAACGTCTGCCCAATAGAGCACTTGATGTGTTCCGTCGTAAAGAGAGCCACCATGGTTTGACGGAAGATCAACTAAAATGATTTCGAAAGCAGAATAAGGCGCAGAAATATGAAAACGCACGGTGTTATAAATGATTGAGGAACTAAAACATTCTACTTGCCGAAATACCATTGAAAAATAAATGAAAAATCAATACGATTTCGTTTAAATATAACTATTAATGAACAACTAAACGTCGTACTGTTTTACGCGAATATGTAATTGTCGACAGATATTAGGTTATTATAAAAGTGATGAACGTTCCTAATTAGTAATCGTCTTTTACAGTTTCGAGGGTCTACCCGGGCTGAAAGATGGCTTTTTGGATCTATTCCACTGAATTTCTCAAATTGCACAAGGATAACCATGAGCCGATTACTGTCAGATGATCCTATACTTAAATGTTGTTGGCTCACCAATTTTTCCCCGTCGTACGACGAACATACTTCCAGTGTTGTTTTCGCAATTTTAAATGTGACCGCAAAGTTGACACCGCAAAGATACTTGTTTTTTTTTTTTTTTATCAGACATACCCATCTAAAAATCCGAAATCAGGTTAACAGTGGATCCTTTCCAATGATGAATAACCTCACTAAACCATCATCAGGCAAAAGGTCGACCAAAATAAGTTATTATTGCTTTCGAAAAGGCACATATTGAAAGTGTTACTGGAGTAGTTTTTTGGATTAATGGTGGAGATATCCCTATAAAAAAACATTATCTACTCACGCAAGCCCATGTCTCCAGACACCTTCCAGGACGTTTCTACGTTGCCCGTCCAGCCGATGTGCATAGCTACATCAACAGGCCAGCCTAGTGAGCGTAAAAACTCCAGATAGAGCGGGTGAACAAAGTTTGCATTTCGCGAGTTCGCCACTATGTCTTCTGGAATAGTCTGTCTTCGACGAACATAGAATATGTGTACGGTGTCGGAACTTCGCGCAGACATCTGGTCGAGTGTTTCCAGTTGGGTCATAAGTGAGGGCTCCTCGGAGTCAATCAAAGGAAGCAAGGATTGCGAGGGCTGAAGCAAACAAAAAAGCATGATTAATTACATTAACTATGTAAAAGTAATTAATACACTGGCATATTAGCACAACCTATCGCTACCGATCAGTTTGACTGTTTTTTTGCATGACAGGTTTGTGTTAAGCAAATGGGAAGTAAAGGCGTCATCCTTTGGGAACTAATGATTACGTCCATGTTCAAAGACTACTTTGTATTTTGTATTAATATACATCTTCCATCCAATTATTTAAGGCTTTGGGAAATCCATGCGGGTTTCACAGCCGATCTAAAAATTAACCAAACGTGTACTAAGACGTCACTACAATTGGTTATACGGACCCCACAGGTCGTAATTACCTTAACAGCTTCATCATGCGGATTAAGAAAGCCGAAGTGCATGAGGAAAAGTCGAGCAGTCTGGAAAGCTGTCTGATTAGCCGGGGGTCGACAAGGTCTTTCCGTGGGCCGCTGGGCAGCTTCACGCCGACACGAAGCTTCTAGTTTTACTTGTGCTTCGACGAGGTTCAGTAACTCTGAAGACAGCAGCGAAAGTAGCACTTTTCTAAACTACTTCTGCTCACAAGCATACAAAGCATTTGCGTATATCGGCATTTGATATGCAATGATTGAAATCATGGGCCATATGTTCCTAAGCAATACATGTTAACAGCACACAATAATGTTCAAGTACTAAAACTGTTACTCAAAAACTTACTGTTGCTAATCGTGTTATCAGGCATATTCCAAGGATCAGGCACGATACTCTTCTCGATAACACATGGCGGGATTTCTGCGCACTTAAGCGGAAAGTAGGACGGCAATTTCTTTTGAAGACTTGCCAACTGTTCCTTATTCGGTAGTGTCATCTGATATCTAGGCAGTACCATAGGGGCTCCTGGCGGGCCCCGATGCTGCACGGGGCCCTGATTCAATAAAGACATTTTGGATTGGGGCACGTTGCTTAGCTGCATAGCCCAAACATGCCGGCCAAAAGGTGCGCGCACCAGTAATGTAAGACTCGGATTGCTCGTAGGAGGGGCATGAATTGGGTCCTCGAGAACTCCGACAATCGCTGAACTTTGCGTGTAGAAATAGCGGAATCTTGCGCCTGGTCTATCTTTCAATAGCGCTTGTTCATCCAACAGAGAACTAACTGGACACTCTGGTCCTGCAGCATTTGGAAAATAGCCAACATGATCCATAAGTGCCGAGAGTACTGCCTCAGCAGCTTGGAGGACTCGCTTCGATAGTGGCTTTCGTTCTTTGTTCTGCTTCAATATAGGAATGTCCGAAGGCTTGGGTTGACTCTTAGCGCCCGATATGCCTAACTCCACAACTTCCATAACCTGTAACATGCGGTAGACATGTTACTTAAGAAATTGTGTGTTCTTCAAGGTCGGCATGCGGACTTATATACTTGGTAGCTTAGCACTGTGGTACTAACTTGTGTTTCTGTGTAAGATTATTTTGCTGAAGCTTTGTCATACCTGATGTATGGTATCCTGCTCGCAGAAGAGGGTCGAATGCTCCACAAGCCAAAGTGTAAGGCAGGAAAATGCTGCTACGATTGTCGAATGCAACTCTTTCGAATGATCCCTAGTAGGGCGATGGCTTTGCCAAACGATCAATTCGCAAAGCCAGCCGACGCATTGACGGTATTCTCGATAGTTGTGGCTAGCTGAAAGTGACATATTCATGACCGATTATTCGATTAACAGAAATATTTCGGCATCTTGCTTTTAATCTTATGTACGAGTAAAGGTAACCGATTCAAAATCTCAATTACACCTCACCTTAAGATTTTCCAGTCTAAAACCCTATTTGTTTTCACAACGCTTTTTATCTGGAATATTTGGTCAAATTTCGCTTAAACACAGCACGATTTTAGGTAAACGAGACCGTCTTTTTTATTACCAAATTCAGTGATATGAAGCCGCGCGAACACCGTAAGCACTTCAAGTGCTGAAAAGACAATAGCAGCATCGTTTCTCCATGACGAACTGAGATTTTGACAGACTGTCTTAATGGCTAAAAGTAAGAGGTGTGTGTCTTGAAATACTGGATCTTCGATCGTTACGTTGGTGCTATCTGAAAATTCCCAAAAATATTAGGAATTAAAGTATCCTGATACATGCTTTTTAGACACTGATATGTATTGTTATTGTTAAGTATTATAAAGTAGATATCTCTCACCTAAAAGAACCAGCGCAGTAATACGTCATAATTGGCTCGACTAAATGATTGAAAGCACGATCATTCACTTATGGTATGATAGTTAACATGGCTTTGTAAATCTGAAAATGCTCACGAAATGTCTAGGTCTTGTGCTTTTCTTGTAGCTGCATTCAACCAACCTGAATAATGGGCTTCTCTGATCTATGTATTTGTTTCTATCGTCGCCGAGAATGCTATGTTTTACTTACGAACCTAATGATGGATCGAGAGCCGCGCAGCGTTCGTACTCGACCTGGTCAAGGACCGCGCACATAAGCCCTTGTAATAGCGTTTGTACGTTGAGAGAGTCCACTTCGGCGTTTAAAGACACGAGTAACAGCCGAAGTAGACGTGCGCGAAATGAGCTCAACGACACCTGCCGATTTGCCTGATCTCGAACGAGGAGCGAGTTACTATGTAAAGTTAGAGGAAGCAAACTAAGCAGAATGGAAATCGCTGAATTATGGAGCAGGTTCTCCGCTATGGGCGTTGGAGGCAGATGACTATATCCGGACCGCACTGGAAGAGTAAGAGAAGCGAAACTATGAAAAACAAAAATTAAAGGGCAAAAGGCTAAATCAAATCATATTTCAAAATCAAAATTGCAATCAAACGTACCAGAAGCTTCTTGTCTGCAGACATTGCTTCTTCAAAAAATGCTTGTGTAAAGACACTGCAGCATAGACAGAAATTAACGTATCAATACAGTATGTTGTCCCATGAATTTTTTTTTAATACAAGCAGCATTACTTTGCCTGTTAACTGGGACGGCGTAATGTGTCCGACGAAAATATTTTTGGTTTGTAGGTCGTTTTATAGATCAGCTATAAAAAGTTGCAAAACAATGCCGAGCTCACTTTTCAAGTATAAATTCAGTAAAAGTTATATATATATATAAAAGTAAAACCTACCAATTAAGGATGTTAGCATTGATTAACCCTTACCGTGCGGCGGACTAAGTACATTCTCAATGGCCGCTACAAACGAAGGCACCAGCAACGCCGCACTCTCCAAATCACACTTAAAAAGATCTGCTGAATTCGCTACGATACTGCATGTAATCGCGCTTGGCGGATCCTGTGGTGATTGTCCTGCCAGTCCCTGTTTTATCGCTAGGAAAAACCGTGCAAGATAGACGCTAAGCACCTCCTCATCCGAAGTTTTTGATCCAAGAATCTTGCATAACGTCCCCATTGCCTCAGCCTGGCCCCATTCCAGTGACCAGCTCTGCAAGCCCATATGCGTATCATATATGGAGTCGCTATCAGACATCGATTTGGTGGACGAATTGTGCACAGTGCCGTCTGGTTGACTTGAGTGACTTTGCAGAGATTCCGTCTCAGACTCGACAAATGCACCCTCGCTATCGGTTATCATGGACGACTCGAATAACCACGTACCGTACAAATGAAGCAAAGAGTTCACTGACGGGCGTAATGGGCGCAACGTTAATCGACGTACGACATGAATAGTTGTGTTGAACCTTTCCGCCGGTCTCTCTATTGGAAACGGAGGAAGTGGTGAACTTCCCGTTGGGGTTACGACAGGCGATACGGGTGTTTGTGGTTTATGCTGTGTGATGAGTTGAGGAATGTGCAATTTTTGCCCAGTTTTCGGCTTGTTCTTGCGCTGTGCCGGTGGTGTCGTGGAAATCGTTGTGGTACTCGATGAGCCGATGGCTGAAGACGTTTGGCTGTTATTGGCTGATAGACTAACAGAGGGTACGATTAATTTATAGGCATTATCTTCAACGTAGCGACCAAGCCAGACGTCGACAAAAGCAGACACGGCGGCTATGGCTTTGTAGAAAATTTGTGCCTGGTTGTCATGCACTTCGTTCATATTGTGCGTCAGCGTGCCGTTCAACGAATTGGCATCTCGCGCCACCAGGGCCGGGTCGCCCAAAGTATGCAACATTCGGTACCAAGCCTGACCCAGACGCTCGCCACGCATCTCGGCTGGAACCAGTTCCTTGTCGCCATCCTCTGTAACCATTATAATAATTACAATCACTTATTTAGTATTTGGATGAGATAAAATTTGCATCCTAAATGGTGCGAACGCAGAGAAATTATCGAATACAAACTTACCAATTTTGACATCGGGGCAATCAGGGTCAACTAGCTCTCTACACAATTTCGCTGTCATGATAAGCTGAATTTTTTTCCATTGTTCGACAACGATCTGTCGATGTCTCCATCGAAGACAGAGGCACTGAAGGGTTTTCCAGTACGACGGCGAAGGAAAGAATGATCGATAACACGCCATCAACCAAACCTGAAACAAAACCCCCAGGAGACGCTCACACAAGTGGGCTTCGATATCGTCATCTGCAATTACAGAAATAACACAAATGCACTCCATTCATTTGAACTTCTCATATACGTATGAACAATGCAAGTATTATGCATAATAAAAAAAACATTTGTACTATAGCTATAAAAATGCACTTATAAATCAACAATCTAACTTCAGGATCTACCTAAACATATTTACCTTTCGCCTGTCTATCGGAAAGAAGTGTGTCGTTAATGGCCAGAAGAAAAGAAAGTATTTCTTGCCAGGTATCGCTTTCAAGCACGGGACTTCGAGTGGCCACCATTTGAACAGTACGAAGAACTCGATGGCAAAGTACAGCTTGGCGAGAAGCGACGTCTGCTGTCAGCGGATCATGAGGTCTCGGCGAAAACAGGTTATAGAGATGTCGAAGGATGCGACGCGAATAATGATTTGCATCAGACATCACCGGACGAGGAACACAGATCTGGAAAACCAATAAGAAACTTAGAAATTAGAAGAATTAGAGCTAAACATAGCAAACACAAGAGAAGACATTAAGTTAAGGCAACTTATTCCACTAGAACATCCGGTGACATTGTTCGCTCAAAAATGATAATCACAATATCATCTGTCTTCAACCTATTTTTGATGTTATGCGTACAGAGAGCTTACGGGCTTAAGCGGTAAATATTCGATGTCCTGAATTTAGCGAACCAATAGTACCATTTTAACTATATTTTTCGAGTTTAACGTTCGGCACCGCCGTTAGGTATTCCATCAGACGGTATTAATCGTATCACTTGGACTATGGCACTTGAGTTGACCTCACCTTTGCCTGTTCGGGTATAAGGGAGACAAGCCATTCACAATAAACGTGAACGCAGTTCTTAATTGCTTCGTGTTCCTTTAGAGGTAAGCGCAGCCCGTAACACATAACTTCCATGCACCAGTTTACCTCAACATCTGTTCGACAAAAATGTACACCAAATCTGAATTAATGGAAAAAAAAAACGAGCGTTTCCTAATTCATTCAGCAGCATTCCACAAAATTAAACTATTCGCGCAAATTGCAGATCAAATAAAAATACTATGTAGATATTCTTTGAATGCTCACTCCTTGTGTACCTCTGTTCTGAACACATAATAACCTTTGATTTAGGTGAACAATCGATCAACTAGAGCTCTCTTGATATTTTTTTTTGAATGAATAAAAACAGTTACACTATTACAAAAACCACATGATTTTCTAGGAAAATTTTTATTCGAGTACTTCATATACTTCTACTATTTGAACAAGTATATTGCACTAACTATGCTTTTTATTTTTTCTCCCAAAGTCGAACGATCACTAACCAGTAATGAGGGAGCTAGGTTCCGGTTGTCCAGAGCTTAGCCCAAGCGACTGTGCAAGACTTTGTACAACCGCATGGACGACAGCTCCACTTGACGCTGTCGGAAATTTCTGTAGAACAGAAGCGCTGCGTTCGCGAGCTTCCTCGCAGACCCGAAGTTCGTTCCAGGCTCCGTACATTTTAATAGCTTAATTGAGGATCACTGATCTTTTTGTCCTAGAAGCACTTGATGCGAGCATTAAAAGCGATAATGTTAATAATCCTTCACCAAATAGAATGCATGATTGCGAATTGTGACGTTGTCAAACAAAAAATTGTCTGCGGATTTTTTTTGATTGTGGTGATTGTAAAGCTTCCTTATGTGGAGACGAAAGCATCGAATCTGCTGCCGCGTTACCGGGGGCAGCAAGAAATCAACTGGAATTGAAAAAACCAAGCAGAAAATCAAAGCCAAATACATTCAGAGACGCATTCCTCTGTTACACTGACTTCACGTAACTATTTCTTAGGGTCACGGGTAATTTACTCTCATATAAGTAAGTTCGGATTTAGGAAGTCACTCAAGTTGATCTTACTCCCTAGAAATAAGTCCAATAAATAGTAAATAAATACATTCGAATACATCTATATGTTGTACAGCACATTATATAGATGGATTCAAGTAGAAAATAACGAAATTTAAGTCTAATTCTCATTCCATTACTGATATCATTTCGCAACTGAATGCCCATTTCATGTAAATGGTAGCCCAGGTAAGATGCAGCCGTACCCTATGCATTATTCTTCCAGATAATTAATCGAATCTTCAGGCTCAATATAGTTTAATGTTCATATTATTATACGTAAAAAACCCGTATTTTTTTGTTCGTATGTACACAAACTGTAAAGTACGAGATAACACCTTTTAATAATTGTTGAAAATGTCGAAAGGTTCCATTTATTTTGTAGAAGGATCGTGCGCGAACGTTATTTCTATATATATATATATATATATATACATATATATATAAACTTCGTTATATATAAAATGTTATAGTTTCCTTTTTTAGGATTTATTTACATAATTTACATAACATTTATATAAGAGGTTAGCCACTTCAAAGACTGGACCATATTTTGAAGGAACCAGGAACATGAAAGGGCTAAATCACGAAAGCAAGCCAATAAAGGATTTTGTTTGAAATTTTGCTGTAAATGCAACAAAATGCACTATAACTGATGACGAAACGGTCAAAATTCGATCCTAAGCGCCGTGAATGGATATCGTAGATCGATCACTTCACGTAAACGCATATAGTTGAAAATAGTGATCCTGCATAGAATCGAACGAGAGTAACCTTCCGGTATTATTGTCACACCGTTCAAGCACAGAAAAGGTAACAAACTATGCGGATACACTGTTGATACATTTGGCAATTATTATTGACCATATTACATTATGCTATAACCCAGGTTAGGACCTATTCCAGATCTTTTCAATACACCTAACGAAGTATAAGTATAAACCTACTCCTTCATTTAGTTTTCCGAAGTAAAATGGCACTATTAAAACACCAATAAACAAAATGTTTAAGGCGTCATAACCAACACTAGAAATGAAATCGTGTTGATTATTCTCAAAGGGCTCATTGTTTACTACTGGTGTAAATTGTATTTGTATAGCATAATTTAAATCACTAATTAATATAAAATTAGTGCATCAGGGCCTGCTACGGCTCGTGAGTGTAAATAAAAAATTTCCCCCAAAATATGCCACTCGTAAACCTCGTGTGTGCACAACTGCTTCGATTACTTTGAAAGACAAAACATTATTTTTTATTTATGTTAATATATTATATATATATATATATATTAATATTATTATAATATATTATATATTATTATTTTTATTTATGTTAATATACACAACTCCATCGTTAATTTCTATGAACGATCGAAAGCTCTGAATGTTATTGAGTCGGCCTTAGTCATAGCTAAAGAAAATGCACATATAAGACCATGTTTTTTACATGATGGAGCGCTTAGATCAACAAACGCAGACATTTTTCTATATGCGACGCATATAAACTGCTGCTTTATGCTTAATTTTTCACATTTTATTTGCGCTGATCTGATTGTGCAACCTAACATCTTTTCGCTAGTTATGCACCATTGCCCGTCTACGGTCATTCAGTAGACTTTACTGTATCGTTCTCGTGAATTACACAAAAGTAAAGATTTGTACAAAGTGGCTTCAGAAGACCCCTTTTTCGTTATCCTCAAAATGCGCGCACTTACTTCAAACTTAATTTGTTAAGGATTCAGCCCGTGTGGCGACTTTCTTGAGCTTAGCTTTACACTTACTTTTGTTAAAGTATTATAACTTTCCTTTTTTTTTTTTTCATTGTCAACCCCGACAATAGAAATAAAGTAGAAGCAATTGCGATTGAAGGATGAATACTCATTGTCACGGAAACTCGGAATACTACAATGTCAACTGTGATATTATATAACGGGCCGTTTCTTCAAGGCTATTGTCGAGTCGGTCATCATTCTACCCCACGTGACCACGAGTCATTCACGTGACTGTATTCCGAGTCGCTGCCCCCCAGCAACAATAACTTCCGTCATATGAAATCTATGGTTCTATACGGGCTGGACCATGTCCACAGACACCTCACGGTGTAATGGTTCTAAAAAAAACGAAACCCATAATCACAGAGGACACGCGACCAAGATGTGCTTCGATCAATTCTCGACTTTCACCATCCACTACAAACTGGACAATCAAGCAGACAGACGGTGTTCAGCATCTTTGAGGATCTGTTCTCTTTTCGGCGTTATTTGAATATGGCCACCGGAGCGAAGCACATAAACGGCGACAACGCTTCTAATCCTGAGACTTCTTTATTTGTTAGCCTCAAGGGCCTTTCAAGGACGAATAAAATGCTGACGTCATTCTAAGACATTGTGGTTAGAATTGAATGAGCTTATTGGAGCTCCTACAACGCTGCCCATATGATCATGCTCCATCGCATGAAAGCTGATGGGTGTTACCACCCATTGTTCGCAGACCAGTAGCCATGGAAGGGACCACTATAGGAGCGAAGTTCGAGCAGAAAATTCCGCTATTTGTAACAATAGCAGTTCGACTCCGCGTGACTTGATATTTGGCGCCGGACAAAAAACACAACCATCATAAAATAACAGCACCGTAACACGCCGTCGCCCGTCATCGATAATTATCTCCTATTAATCGTTATGAACAACTTTATTATCTTCTTAGCTTCTTATCTTACAATTCTTTGAAACGTCCAGTTGCCACGCATTTGCTGTTAACAAAAGTCTCACTTGCTTTGTTTTTGTTGTATCTGCAGCGGCGCCCCGACTGGCACAGATTGCGTGTGTGCTGTTCCGTCACATCGGAGCGTGACATCAGTACCCAGAATTCCCTAAACGACAACAATAGACCCTGTAGAAACCTGCTGCTTTTAATATGCAGCGTGGTCTCTTTCGCTGTAGAATTCAGCCGATAGAAGTAGATACAATGTAATCGCATTCGAAGATATTTCACTGATAAACCGCAATTTGGCTTGACAATATATATATATATATTTTTTTTTGCTGACCACTTGGTGTAATACATAATTGTTGTTTGCATTGAATTAGATCGGACATCGAATCTGATGGCAACGCACAGTGCAAACAAACACGGTAGTACCGCTCAAGTCAAATTTTAAGATTCCTATGCAAATATATATTTTAATGCGCATACTATAAGTACCTAAGGGTTGGTAGTCATCACTGCGAACGAATTAATCATAATTAAGCTCTAAACAAATGATAAAAATTCGGATTTATTACGCTACTCATATCTCTGTATGTGAGCGCGAGTTCGAAACGAAGTCACCGCAAGAAGTCACCCTTCAGCGTCCAAAAACAGTTTTTCTGTCACTAATTGTTCCTTGCCGATTGCTATAAATCACCTAAGCTAAGGCGTTAGATATCTTTCTAGTATTTCGATCAGAAATACACCAATATACTGAAAGCTTGTTTCGAACAATTCGCAGCGACATTTATATGATACCTGTCAATATAAACAGCTAATTGGTCAAGCCCGTCTCCCTCTATCGAGTAGATAGGTGTGTGTGTGTGTGTGTCCTCACTTAGCGTTCTTTTAATGATTTTAAGTCGTATAATCTCCGCCTGTGGCATGTGTGACGCTTCTGGCTTGGCATCCGAGCCAGTAGTTTCAAATGCGGACCACCCATATTTAAAGCACAAATTTTCTGGCTTTAGTCACATATACAAGCCCTTCCAGATAGAACTTATAATGATTAAGGTTTTTTGCCCGGCATACTTCATGCTGCCAAAACGACCAAGCCGATATTTGCGTTCGATCAACGACGTGACGTGGACAGACAAGCCCCAATTGTTTCAAATTAACTCAAGTCAAGCTGCCGTATCACGAAACGCTTCATCCATCTTGTACTCAACCCAAACTCTAGCTAACGCCGCGCTTTGCCTCACTGTATTCTCCTTTCAGATGGTACTGGTTCGCCTCCTCGTCGATTCGATGACTTCGTCCAGTTGGCCAATGCCGGTGAAGGCTGACTCGAACAAAGCGATTGTCAGTGTCATTACTTGCGACAAAAATAAGATCAACAGGCGGCACCTCACGATTCTCTAATGTCCAACCGATTACTCTGCGGCCAACCGTCAACGTTCCCAATTCTTCAAGCTTTACTACTACGGTCAACTCTATGTTGCGGAGCCTCGCAGAAGTGTAACCTATCTATCACCATCATTCGTGCGAGTTATAGATACGCATAAACGTACAGTGACAAGATGGTGTCAATCAGGCACCGCACAGTTAATAGGCTATATCATATGGATGCTAATTTAAGGCACAATTTGTGTAGTTATTTGTTATTCAAAACCCAGCCAGAAGCCCCGTATCGAGGTTTTCGCGAACAGCCTCAAAGCTCAGTCTCATAGTCACGCTGCTACTCTCTCTTTGTCAAGTCTTATCAAGCCACACAAGGACATAAGAACATCTTTTTTAGACTACTATTTAAAAACGTGCCTGGCGACCTCAAATAATGAACAGCCTAAGAAAGAATATACTAACTCGTTTTTTCGATATTATTGTTAATGTCTTTATCCCTTTCAAATTAATAATGTCAGCATCATCTGCAGAGCTGTCAAAGTGGTTTCATGTCGTCAATTTTATTTTACTTTTTCTCAATGAATGCACTTAGCATAATCTTAAAGTGACTGTAAAACCCGTCTTGGCCTGGCCCTAAATTCTCACTATGGCTCTTATAAATGATCTTCTATAACATATTATCAGAGTTGCGCATCGTATGAAAAGCAAGCAAACTATTACAGTATCTAAGTATATTGCAGTAATCGAGTCTAAGTTCAGCTGTAGCAGTTAATCACAAGAAATTGTACCACAAGCGAATTTCGTACCCGTCTTTCTTGCCGCTGTCCCTCGGTAGTCTTGCGATGGGCGTCTGTTTAACCCGCACTGCTCGGAACTGGGACAACAAAACAACGCCTGGCTCAGTCGGGCACTTGTCCACAAGGGTAATATTAAATGGTTCAACTAATGACTAAGAACCACGCAGTTGCCCACCTGCTATAGGTCGTTTAGGAGGTGTACGGCCGTCCGTTCCATCTCTTCTATGGATCACTTTTTCCGCATCTGCCACCACTCACTGCTCCGAATTCATATTCATTCCACACAACAGCAAGCTAACCAGCCACTTCTATTGGTCCCCCCCCTGCTACGTCTAATTCAAAATAACACAACACACGATTGTCCAGCTGCATCAGCAGCGGCAACACAACTCTTTGGCAAAATGTTGACATCTTGCAATAAGATCATCACATAAGAATCACTATGACGGGGCGGCCTTTAAAGACAGAGCGGTTCTGTTGGCAGAAAAGGTTACAAATTTCTCCCGTGAAGAGTAGTAGCAATACGTTACTATATTTTTAATTAATGTAGTATTTTCTAGATGTTTGTTTCAGACTTACTGAGTACATTCTGTTTTCTTTAGCTCAAACTAAAATTTAAATTTTGTGAAAAGCTGTTGCCAGAAAGAATTTCATGAACTTCGGGGCAATATTTAATACTCGAAAAAAAACGACGGTTTTTCGATAATATTAGCAGATCATTTTTGGTAACAGTTAACTGCATCTTTTTGATTAGCGGAAATGAGATTTCTTCGGATGTTGCTTCATAGATTCGTTTGAAAAGTGAAACATATTATAAATCATATTGTACACACGGGTTTCTGGCAGCTGCACACATGCAGCGCTTCGAGTGTTTTAAAAAACCTAGGCGATAGTTAGGTAGTGTAATCATAATTTAGACATTACGCTACTGGCGAAATATGCCATATTGACGTATTCAAAGTTTGAACCTCTGCTTTCACAATATAAATGGACTTCAAGCACCTGAAATGATGCTCTGCATGACAAAATATCACAGTTTCGATAACAGATACAGGATAATAGTTTTCGTTGCTTAAACCTATGTGTGTAGTCAAAATTGTTTAGCCCATACACGGTACAATAAAATGATGTTTGTTAGCAAATACAGAGATAAACAAACCGAACAGATTTGCCAAAAATAGACCGAGAACCCAGAGAGTCATCCAAAGATATCGTTTCACGACAATGTTTAGGTCGTGTGATTGGATTCAAAATAAGACCGTGTAATAGCGCGTATACTAATTATCACACTCACCGATATACTTTTGCAATTACGGTCGGGCTGAAAGCTCTATAAGGTACATAAACTATATTATCAGGTGTTTCTCGCGCTATGCGATGTATCTTCTGCTTCAGAATGTAAGTTTTGAGTAAGCCACTTCATCATAGTTACTAGCTGTATATTCCAAAAAACCCAAAGAAGTTTTCTGTTTTCAGCCTAAGATGATAAAGATCCAAGGAAGTTACGCCAATAGTTTATCAAACCTGCCGAAGATTACCTAGCTAGGAACCAGAATTTAATCTTGAAAACTTGAATGATTTCAAGTTTAAGCGAAATTAATTTTAGTAAGAACTGCCTTTGGAATAGGTTCGTGAAAAAAGATAACGTATATAAATTCAGTTTCAACAATAAACACATTTCATATAAAGAGCTGTAGAATGTTGTCGACGAGTTTATTCTTCTTTGCAGCCACTATATTCAAATATGCTGTTAGAGTGACCCTGACTAATGAAAATTGTATTACAATTTTATTCAAAATTCTTAAAATTGATTTGGCTTCCATAAAAATTATTTTTATTGGATATGAGACATATGTGTTCCAAACACCGATTCAATTACAGGTACTTAACAATTCGGTTATTAAAAATCATAAGGACAGCCATGTAATGTACATGTTCTCTGGCATCTTATTATCTTGACATCATTATCATAACACCAAAGTTGATAGGAACTTGCCATCGTTAGTAGCAAACCTAGCAAAATTGTATTCTCACACAGTTGTTTAAAAGAAAAGCGATGAACGGCTTATAAAACTTAAATGTAAATTAGTAAAAAAAATCCGAGTGGTTTAGCCATAACGTGGCTATTAAGTTGTGGCTGATGGGGTTCAAAGTCACGTATTGCCAAACCAAAAAGCCTTCGAAGGTGGTGACCCAGTATCGTGTGGTCGAAAGTGAACGTACGTATGTACAAGAGAAAGCTATAGTATATTGGTAATAAACCTGAAAAGCTATCGTTGACTTGCACTCCTGCTATTTTTGGCAAAAGAACAGTGGCTCAGAATAGCTTCCACAATGAATCCACCACAATATACGAAAATCAAAGATTTTCGCTACCTAGAGAAATCAAATAGAGTTGATTGTTTAAGAAAATCATATAAATTGTTGTAAATTAAAAAAAAAAAGAAAAAAAACAATACTGAAACGTTGTGTCCCTTGATTTTCGGTCTTTCCAGGCAGCATGCATAACATACATACTACTGTAGCACTATTGACCAGCTTGAACAACAACAACCAGCTAAAAAGGTTTCCTCTTAACGTGTACTTGAAATTGGAGGTAAAAAAATAACTAATAATATTTAACATCTGTTACTCTTTATATCGTAGTAATATACTAGTACGTAGTAACTAATAATTTCACATTTATCCAACCTAACCAATGGAAGCTGTAGCAAATATATCAGCATCCACGACATTGAAAAAATCTCATTGTATTTAAAAAAATCGTCAGAAATGTCTAATCAGGCTTAGTGTGTCCTAGTCATTTTAGACGTTTCTATTTTACAGTTGCGAACTGAATTTTTGATACAAGAACCCAGTAGAAGTGTATCTTTATACTGATCGAAGCTAAGAAATTAAAAATTGTTCTCTTAACTTTTATTTAGAATTAGTATTTAAGTATTGGACAAGTCGCAAAAATTATAATTGTTTGATTTGATGCCCTTTACGAATTGAGGAACAGCCCCTCGCGGTTGACTTTCAAATATAGTTATTAAACGAATAAATACAATGCATAAATATATGATAACTATTTATTTGCACTTTTACAGCAGTCACTTTCTGCGCACTCATCATAAATGATACAAATTAGGCTCCTATGGCCTAACGCTGAACTAGTAACTGATGTGGGCATTTTACTACATACATAATCTTTATTTAACTATAACTAATGTAATAAATGCAGATGACTTAACACTTCTTCAGAAATAGAGTTAAATCGCAAAAACAACCGGAAACCACCGGTGTGCGTTACCCAGCCAGTTTCATACAGTTTTTCAATATAAAAGCTTAGTACAGAGATTATCACCAACTGTATTATATATCGTTCATTATTAGTGCCATAACTGTACATTGACAAAAGGTAATATTCAGAAGGTGTTAGGTGACGTCTACGCGCTAACAACAGTATAGCATTCATTCATTGCTAACAAAGTCAGCAGTTGTTCATGAGTCTTAATTTCTTCTATATCCAGCCATCGAGCGACAGCTGTGTCGAACTGCCTTTCAAAGTATACAACGACGTCTGCCAGATCGCCTTCAGGCATGGCCATCATTTCAAGTGCGCCAAGCTCCCGTTCTACATCGACGGAACACTCTGAGTTAGTTCCGGAGGATGTGCCCAGCTTCGATGAACCGGGCAGCTGAATCACCGTGTTTTCGGCGTTAACTAATTTGTCAATAGACATGGCGGCCTGTAAAACGGTCGATACGATGCTGATCAGTCTCATTGATGCTTGCAGATTGTCGAGAAGACAGCGTTGATAGATTCGCCGGACGTAATTTGAATGGGTTCGGGTTAGTGAGTCGACAGTACGGACTTGACTAAGACGCTTCTGCAGTCGCGACCATTCTTGCTCAACCGAAAATATTGAGAAGTAAGCGGAAATACTCTGGCTAAAAACAAGCATTCGCTGTAGCAAGGCTCTGGCCAGTCCTATGCAGTATGGCAGCACGTCCGCGCAGAAGCATTCGCCTAGAAACAATTGTAAACGAACACCAAAAATCAATTCGTACATTTCTCGTACATCAGGACTGAGCAAGTGTTGGAGTATCCACCCGCCGTGCAGATCAGTGGCGATGCATTCAAAAGTGTGCCCGCACCCACTAAGGTAAGCTTGCCGAGTACTCAGTAGTCTCGCTCCTTCCTCTTCTCTGAGTGAGCCCTCACGGATAGCGCGATTTACTAGTCGCACGCTAAGTGTTTCTTCCAAGAACTTCAGTCCCATCTGTGATTGAGTGAAAACAGAAGCTGCACTGCCGGAAACAGCGTCGGCAAGGAAGTTATTCAGAACCATAGGGGAACACATTGAATTACTAATGATTAGTTGTCCTCGGCTCAAGTCGCAGAACCGCCTAAAAATATCGGCACGAACAAAAAGATATACTTCCTTAAAGGATGTGAGATGCTCATCGAGATCGCCGTACTTATTCATTAGACGGAAAAGCGTGGCAGAAGTTTCCGCTAGAATAGCTTGGACTCCACTTTGAAGTTCCTCGACAGAAGGACAAGATGACGCGCCTGCAGGTTCTAAGAGGTACTTATCAACAGTCGCCTCTGTCGTGATCTCTTCATCAAAATCGGCCTCAACTGAATTGACCATTTCTGCGTGACAGCCAGCGGTGAGGATGTCCTCGGTTAGGTCGGCCAAAAAAGAAGGTACACCTTGTTCAAGTAGCTCGTATTTGGAGGATATTAGGTCACCTTCACGCAAAAATAATGGTCGCACTTGAACCATAAATTCACCATGGGGATCAATTACAAACTGGCCTTTAAGCCACTGTCTCAGCATCGAAACATACGGCCTCATTGATTCACGAAGGCAACGTTCATAGAGTTTCTGTACTACGGAGTTGCCTGAGTTGCCCATTAGCTTAAACAGATGAGAGAGAATTGGAGCTCCATCTAAACGGTCGTTCCTTATAGTAACACAGAGATCGGATAAAGTTAGGAGTATCACTCGTTGTTGGGCTAAATGTTGCTGAAGCAGCTTAAGAGTAAATTTGTACGCTTGGTCGGAGATCGTAACAAGTAGTAGGCGAAACGTGGTCAAGACTGCGTTCAGACAGCCCACTAATGATTGAAGTGTCAATGTATATCCCGTGGACTGGTAGTCGGTAATGAACTGTCTGATGGCACTGTGATGGCGGGCGAGATCGGCGAAATCCTTGGCCTCGGTTACAAGCTGAGGATTCAACTTGGGGTGGAAATGTATTTTGCACTCGCCAGATTTTCCACGTTCGCTCCACACAAAGTCATGAGGTGTCAGTCCAAGCACGCAGAGAACACCTCGAACAAGCAGCCGTTCCTGTGTCTCGACACTGTGGCCTTCCAGCCCAGAATATAGGGGTATAGGTTGCGCCAAACCGTACGGGAAGTTCCCCCTCGTGAGGTGGGTCGATTCTTTGCTAACATGGTCGGGTCGTTCCAAAGTTCCTTCAAAACCCCGAAGAAGCTCCATTTCAACGGGATTTTTTACGAACCTCTCACTGTCATTGTTTGCGCCGCCAAAACCCCAAAACAGAATGAGCATGTCAAGTAGCGTTGAAGCCGCATAGAAGCTTTTGTTTTCTCACAGAAGGCTCACCGGGGTTCGCCTTAGTGTTGAATTTCCGGCCATAGATCGAACGACACATTCGTTTTGTGATATACTAGGTAGTTTGTGTAAAAAACGAATACTTTTTTGCTAAATTTAATTCCGAAGTTATAAAATTAGCTTTTGGTAAACACTGCAATAGCTATGCAAGAAACGACAAACATGCAAGCATGTAAGTATTTTGAAATAATCAACTGATATTATTGCTATAAGTATCTAAATTAGAGTACATATAATAACACCAAATTTTGGGGTTGGCACCCGTCGTAAGCTTAAATCTACAGGAACACCTCAGACAAGGAACACTTCGGTGAAAGACGAGCGTGCTTTCCCTCACCTTACAGAAACTCAATTAGATCCCTATAGACATTTGTATCAGCTTATGACAAAACGAACTAGCTGAAATCTACGGTACATTTTCATTTAGTGTAATTGTACATTGTTCAAGAATATGACTCGTATAATTCTTTACATACTTAACGTGCTACAGCACAAAAATATCTGTAGTAAGCAATATTGCTAATAGAGCGACGAAGCCCAATGTCAAATATATTACGAAAGAAGAATGTTACCAAATTTTTGCCGTTAGTTTACATGATATCACGGCTACCAACCTTTCTTCTTTATCACAGCCTACATAATGACAATTAAGACCTACAATTTAATTGTTTGGTGAGCAAAATTAGGTGTCTGTAAAACTATGGCTCAAATTTGACGTAAATGCTAGATTGATTACAAAGCAAATGCCGTAATTATAGTGAATGACTAAGAAATAGGTAATCTAGGTCTAATTTGAAACTTAGGTCTCTAATGTCATATTTTATCCCAGACACGCCTATCTCTAATGTGCCTTTATAAATTAGACAGTCCAAATCTAACGACCATTGACCTGCACGCATACACGTATACCGTAGCCTGTTTTCGCCCGCCAAATTATGTTTATTAAGTTCAAGAAATATGTTTTGTGTTGTAAAATCAAACTGCTATTCCGTAGGGGACTAAAAACCCCCAGGAGGTGACACCGATGTGTTTTTGTTAACCTTCTTGATAGAATCCAAATTTACATATACTAGAACATGCCAGAAATGTTTTCTTCCGATTACCAATGGTAATTATCTGGACGCGCTTTTGTTTTTGAACGGTGGATTTAAAAAGATACATGATTTTTGGGAATAACTAATGGGCAATTAGATAAAAGCTAATATAAATAAGAGAACGCAACAGAAGTACATTGACATCTTTCTCTGTAACGGGCTTGGCGGTTGAGTATTCTAACAGGTCTGCTTTGATCATGATCTGAGCCGTTTGTACTCAATTCATTTAAACTCAGTTGATTGCTGAGTCAGACGCGATGTATCATGAGCCAGTTTTTTCAGAGCGCGTGTTTAATTTACACATACACACAAATGTTTATTACGGAATTTTTTTCACAAGAAAGTATTTTTACAGTAGAGGCAAACCTGGTGGGATACATGGAAATTGCATAATGACCAGGCCGAGTGCCTTTATTTTACGAGCAATTCACGTAATTAGCGAGAAGACATTCGAAACGGAAGCGATAAAGCACCTCAAGCCGAGGGTCGGCCACGAAAAATAAAAGTTGATGAGAAGAAGCTAGGCCAAGGCTCTCTGATCTCGTTGGTAACTTAAATCAAGTAGATTAAATTTTATTATTATTATTATTATTCTTATAAAATCTGCAGGTTTTATTTTCCTATCCTTAGTATATTTTTTCTATACCACTGAACATGCAGTCAGTGAGGAAGGTGTCGTTTTCTGCTTTTTCGTTATAATTATTTAAATTCGCTGCAATGTAGTATGCCAAGTTTTTCAGTATATTTTCACTAACTTTTACTTGAAACAGGGTAGTCAGTGTCTCAAGTTAAAACTTAAAATTTGCGATTTTTACCCAACCAAGGTCAGGTTCACGTGCAGCTCTTGGTGCTGATGGGAACCCATTTCTTCCATTGTCGCTGACAACAACGTCTTTTTAACTGAACTGCTGCTGTTTCTCCTCTCTGGACTTAGTTTTTTGCTCTCTTTTATGCCCCTTCTCCGCCCATTGTTTGGCCCCCAACCAAACTCACCTGTATCTCAAAAAATTAGTGGGTTGCCATTATGATACGATAGCAGTGCGTTGTAGACGCTTTCGAGGCGAGGAAGATCAGCGATCGTCAACCTAGCCACAGCTATTCCAAATAGACAATTGGAAGCTCGTTGGAATTGTATTGAATCTTGACAGACGTAATGTTCATTTGAAGTAATAATTTTTGCGTCGAATCGGGACCAACGCGCGTCCTGCTACGACGCGCGTGTTTTTTACACTAGTTTTTCAATCCGACACTGGTGCCGTCAAGCGTTTCTCCAAATATATATAGCTATTACTGGAACAACTATAAGACACTCAAGTGCTGTCCACGATTACCTACCTGTTTCTTCGGTATTTTCTTGCCAAGAAAAACTGAAACAGCTGACAGTGCTGGCTTTAGCTCATACGCGTCGGCAGGTTTAACACCGGATGCCACCAGCAATTCGCTTCGTTAATGATTTTCGGTTTCTTTTGTCTATTCGAACGATTTCGTTACGGCGGCGGTTGATATCACCATTGAATCAACGGTGAAACCTTGCGAGGCGGTTATGATGTGTATTGTTCAAGGAGTAAAGCCACGTTGAATCCATTCCCCTGGTGATTGTTATACATTGCTCTTCTATACGGAAAGTTTCGAAAGAGACGAAAGGACCAATATCAGTGAGCAAGAAAGATTGTTGTAACTGTCAACAAGCTGCCGACAAATAATGATTCATGCTGCAATACGTTAAACGCATAATGTATGGTGGGGGATTTTCGTATTGACTAAGGAGAATTAATCTTCAAATGCCATTTGGTTCGCGGACGAAATTTAAATAGACGAATTCTATTAGGACGATAATAGAACTAGCCGTATCAGGATTTAACGGCGGATTGAGCATTGTGATTTTTGACTGCATGCCCAACAGGCGATAGGAACAAGCAGATTCCTCAATGTCTCTTCGTCGTGCCTCCCTTTCTGCTTGTGTTGCTTATTATTAGCAGTGTAACACTTCTCTTGGAAAAGTCGTTTCACTTTATTATCTCCTTCCTTGTTGTTTAATTTCTCCGATCTATCGAACAGCTCCAGCCCGAGTCAAAGATGTTCAATGAGAAGAGGAACAAGCAAGCCCATACGCGGGAGTTCTGAACAATCTTTCAACAAACGTTAAATGAGGTGAAGTCTAAGTCTATAAAAAATGCGGATTTTATATATATACAACAATTAAAATAATTGCTTGGACGGAAGCGCCTTACATCGCCCTGTTCCTATGAACAGCGCCGATTAAGATATAGAACTTTTTCTTGCCGAAAAGCAAGCTATAACCTTTACGATTTGCTTTCAATATAGGAAATGGGCTCCTTGGACGACGAGCTACTAGTAATAGACCACAAAAAAACGTATGCATATTTTCGAACAATCAATTTTTGTGTCTTTCTCGTGTGTGTGACAAAAATTGACTTCTTCAGTTCAAAGTTGTTCTTCAGTTTATAACAGCTGATTTACCTATGAGCACGTAATCTAAATACTAAGCAAACCGGTGAATTTTCAGTTCCTTCTCGAGAAAAATTAAAAATACGCTCATTTCCGTCATAATGAATTGCAGCCATGCCAAACTCCGACGTACAAGTACGTCGACACAGAGCCTAATGCCCCTAAATAAAAATGCTATTGTTCCATTAGTGCATCTGACTCAGCTTTGTGTGTTGCTGAAGCAAAGCATAACAATCTATAGTTTATATATACGTACGTACATACATACATACATAGAGACGATACGTTGGGGATAGTGTATCCATAGAATTATTCGTCTCGATCACTTTAAGAGACCTCTTTTTTTTGTTACCTATGTTTAAGGCGGAAGTTAAATGTTATTATTTATATACAAATACTGACTGTTCATTTATTATGCTATAATGACGGCGTCCCATCACTTGCATTCATTGTCTCATGAATTCTTGAATATATGTATATTCAAGGTCCACCGTTCATTGCATTGTGTGCAGCAGCCGGGGCTGCTCTAAGACATGAAATACTGATATACTTGTCGGGTTGGACTGATTTGTGCTTAAAAACGTCATTGTCGCTTGTCTCTTTTCGTCTTATTACTTAAGCGGTTAAGCTAGCTCAATAGGGAAGGGAAGTGTGTTTCGCAGTCTCCGGGCGTTTCCTTAAAGGATATTTTTTGGCCTCTTGCCAGGGCCAAACAGATTTTACGTGAAGGTGACAAAGTAAAACAGTTTACGCTGCTGATACATGCGAAGAGAAGATTAATAGAATCAAGAAACACAAAACGGTACGATAAATGTGGTGTAAGCAGATGAAGAGGGTTTACGAAAAATAAAGTGAGTTATTTTTAGGCTTTTAGGGACTAAATAGCTGTAACGTTATCAGTGTAAAACAATGAGTGTCATTAATAGAAATCACCATCTCTCGCATGCAGATAATTGCTTCTATCTCCGCTACAATTGTAAACCTATCTTTTCGCCAGGTGTAAGAGTACTTTTTCGGTCAACTGTAAACCTAAGTGTTTCAAATGTTCAAGCCTACTTTTCCCACTATTCCTCCATTTGTATTTTAGCTGGCTTCAACTTGCACTCAAAGGCCGAGCCGGAACTCGTGCCGGACGTTGAAGTTAACTTCATAGACGAAACGTTTTTCTCTTTAGTAAGCACAAAAACGCTAGCCTTGTGTGACATTGTATACAATATAAACCTTAGCCTATGTTCGAGTGTAGTGCACTCTCAGTGGTGTCCTCTGATTCTGTTCTGTTGACTTTATTATCGGGTTCAGCTTAAGCAAAACGAAATCATATGTGATTCGCAGGGCACTAATTTACACAATGATTATA